AAAACCACCCGGACCGGACAATTGGCGTGTACTAAACGGCCCTGGGCGTCTACTAAACAGCCCTGCCCTGTTTGATTCCTTCTGTGGGTGCATTTACTAAACGGCTTCGCGTGCAGGGGGGGATTATTATCGGGGTGGATTTTTTGCCTTCTACAACAGTCGGTATTATACCGCGCCTCGATGTGCCAGGGGGCACGCTAGCGGACAGCAGCGCAAGTCGCAGCATTGCACGGCATAGCCAACCACTGCAGCGCTTAGCATACTGTGGAAACCCATGCCAAGAAACACCCTGCTTGCCTCCAGGGTGCCCTGGGGTTCTTGGGTTTTGATTGTTTTGCTGTGGGAAGCGTGACGTTCCCACACCAAAAATCAATGGACGCCCTGGGGTCTCAGGGTTGGGCTTCTTGTGGAAGGTTTCTTGCGGTCGAGCTCCCACTGTATCTCATACAACGGGGAACCGAGTCCCCAGGTCCCGGGCGGGCACTCTTTTTCAAATCTCCCCTCCCCTGGTATCACTTCACCTTGTAGTTTCGGCGGGGTCCCGTAGTTTTCGGGGCGCTTCCGGGCCAGGCCCGCGGTTTGGGGGCCGCCACACAGTCGCCAGAGCGATCCGACAGCTGTCCCGACGGCCCCAAGACTGCCCCGAGCGTTGGTCCAAGAAGGTTTCCAAGCGGTCCGCGGTGCCGCCAAGACGGCCCCCAAACAAGCTCCAAGAGGACCCCGACGAGCGCCCTGAGAGGCCAGCATTCATTATTTTCTGTAGGTGTTTGAAAGGTTTGTGCGTTCCAACTTTTTTCGGGCTTCCAGCGCTCCAAGACGGCTCAAGAGGCGCCTCAGGCCGCCCTGGGAAAGCCCAAGAGGCCCCCAAGAAACTTCCAAGACGGCGCCAGAGGCACGGGACCCCCAGGAAGACTCGAGAGGGCCCTAGGACGGCCCAAAAGGCCCCCCAAGACGGCCCAACAGGGGCCCCAAAACGGTCTCAAGGGGGGCCCAAGAGGGAGAGCACGAGCCCACAATTCCAGCCTTCCGCTCCCACAGGCACCCACGAGGCCCTAAGAGGCCCCGACGAAGCGATACGAGGCCCCCAAGAGGTCCCCACGAGACCCGAAAGAGGTGTTCAGAGGCTTCCAACGAGGTATCAACAAACAACCCAGAATCTTCTTACACACAGTCCCAGCACCGTGGCAGGATGGTCCGAAAGCGCACATCTATATACATACATATATATATATATACATATACATGGATATGTATATATATATATATATATATAGAGAGACATCGATACATAGGTGTGTGTGTGTTTGCGTGTATGTGCATGCATGCATGCATGGGAGTATGTATGCTTGCATGCATGCATGCACACCTGTCCGCCTGTCGGCCAGCCTGCCTGTCTGCCTGCATGCATGCATGTATGTAGATGTGTTTGTTTGTACGTGTATGTGTATGTGTATGTGTGCGTGTATGTGCATGTGCATGTGTAGGTGTATGTGTGTGTGTGTGTGCATGTGTATGTGTATGTGTGTATGTATGTTTGGTTGTTGGTTTGTATGTTTTATGTGTGTATGTATCTAAGACTGTATGTGTGTATGTGTGTATGCACGCATGGGTGTATGCATGTATGCATGCGTACATGTATGTATGTGTGTATGTATGTATGTATATATATACCAGTATGTTGTATGTACGTATGTGCGTATGCATGTATGCATGTATGTATGTGTAGATGTGTGTACGTAGGTAAGTAAGTTATTATGTTTGTTTGTGTGTATGTATATGTGTATATGTGTAGGCATGCGTGTATGTCTGCTTGCACGTATGTATATATGAATGTATGTATGCATGTATACATGCCTGTTTGTCTGTATGGTTGGATGCAGCGTACTGATAATGGTAATGGTCATGCGATTGCTAATGCTGATGTTGTGGCTAATGCGGATCTAATGTAATGTATTGGTTTTGATTGTAGTGTCTTGTTTCGTATGTCTGTCTGTGTTTCTGTCTGTCTGCCTGTTTGTCTGCCTGTCTGCCTGTTTGTCTGTCGACATGTGTGTATGTATGTATGTGTGTATGCATACATGTACGTACGTATGTATGTAGGTGTGTGTATTTATGTATGTATGCATACATGCATGCATGCATGTATGTATGTATGTATGTATGCATGCATGTGTGTATGTGTGTTTCTGTGTATGTGTGTAGGTATGTACGTATGTATGTTTTTATGCATGCAGGCATACACATATGTACAATGGGGTTGTGTGCGGTACCCTCCCGCAGCATTCCCCCGCATCCAAACGCGTCTCCTTCTTGACTTCGTCCTGCCCCTTTCCTATTCCCCTTCCATCCTCCCCCTTCCTCCTTTTTCTCCGTCCTTCCCCTTCCCTTCCTCCTCGTCACCCTGGTCCTCGTCGTTTCTCTTCCCCATTCCGTCCTCATCCTTCTGTGTTTCACCCGCTCCTACATGCCTTGTCGCCTCTGCCCCTCTCCTTCTTCTCCTCCTCCTCCTTCTCCTTCTCCTCCTCCTCCTCCTCTTCCTTCCTTCTTTCCCTCTTTTCTGCCCTCGTCTTCGTCGCTGTCTTGCTCTTGAACTCCTCCCCATCGAATTCGAGGTCTCCCCCCATCATCTTCGTCGTCCTTCTGGGGACCTCCGTGCTTCGGGAAGAGCTGTACATAACGTATGCATTCAGTGTCGTTGGGTTACAGTCATTCCCGAAACCACAGCCCATTCATAGACATCCTCATACGCTACGTCACTACTATCAATGTCATGACCACGGATATGTTCATCGTCGCCACCGCCATCGTGACAATTGTCGTCCTTATACATTTCTCTCATCATCGTCATCACCCGCATGTTCACTAGTATCACCATTGTCATTCCCGCCATCATCATCCAGCGCATTGCCATCATTACCATCATCGCGGTATGTATCGTCATCATCGTCATCATTGGTTTGATTATCGCCATCATGTTTGTCATCATCCTTATCATCGCCATCCAGATCGACGGCGGCATCACCACGAGAACCATTCTCATCACACCCATTTGCATTGTCATAGTCATCCAAAACATCATCAGTCCCGTAATCCTCAACGTTCATACCCTCAGCATCGTCATTTTGGTAGGGCCAGGGGTGAACAGCGGCCAGGCTAGGGGGGGGAATCTTCGCGCTGAAGTCATATCCGAAACCATAGCCCAACCGTCGACGTTTTACTGCCAGGTGGGATTCCAGAAAACTTGAGCGCGCGCGAAGCGCGAGCGATGGGTCTTGTATATATTGATTGGTACGTTGATCTAGATTTTCTGGATCCCTGCTGGTCCTATCCACCACCGAAGGTGAAATCGAAGAAGATTCATCGCCCCAGTCCCCGAAGTTCCTATCGAGGATGGAGGCCCCCCAATCGTGTATCCCCGAATTTGGCTACAGATTTGCGGTCGAGCTGGATACACCACAAACTCGGGGATTGCGGTCTCCATACCCCCAGGTATGCGAGACTTGATCATCTTGTTGATGAAGTTTAAATTTGAGAATTGATTTCCGGAAGGAAGGAGCCGGGCGGGGCTAGGACAGGGATAAATCGCTTCAGAGCGTTCCAGAATGCTCTCAGAGCGTTCCAGAACGCTGGAGCATGCCGCAGCGCCCGATACATCCTGCGCTCGACCCCTTCCTAAGGGCCTCGTTATCCTCCTGAGTCGTTCTCGACGCCCCTTGGTCCCCGAGGTGGCCTCCAGAGGTCGAACACGGCTGATTTGTTCAGCGCGATTTGGCGAGCCGCCAGAGGTCGGGAAATCATATTATGGATCAGGATTATAATGAAGAACATGATGTTGCTGATGATGATGATGCTGACGGTGATTATGTTGATGAAGGTGATGCTGATAGTGTTGATGATGTTCATGTGCTGCTGCTGATGATGATGGTGATGGTGATGGTGATGTGGCTGCTGTTGATGATGGTGGTGGTGATGATGATGATGGTGGTGGTGATGATGATGGCGGTGGTGACGATGCTGGTGATGAGGGTGAGTGTGAGGATGAGGATGAGTGAATGAAGACATGGCTGACTGAATGCAGGAACGAATTAATGATGGTGTTGAGGATGCTGATGAGAGGAGGAAGAGGATGAGGATGAGGATGAGGGGGGGTGGGAATAGGAGGAGGAGGAGGAGGAGGAGGAGCATGAGGAGCAGGAGGAGGCAGTAGGAGGACGAGTAGTAGGAGGAGGAGGAGGAGGAGGAGGAGGAGGAGGAGGAGGAGGAGGAGGAGGAGGAGGAGGAGGAGGAGGTTGAGGAGGACGCGGATCAGCAGGGGGAAGAGGCTTAGGAGGACGAGGAGGATAAGGGGGAGGAGGGAGAGGAGGAGGCGGAGGAGGACGGGGAGGAGGATGAGGAGGTGGAGGAGGAGGAGGATGATGAGTAGGAGGAGGAGGGAGATGATGAGGAGGAGGAGGTGGAGGAGGAGGAGGAGTAGAGCCTCCGCAACTCGTGTTTGTTTGACAACGTGGGTCCCCAGAAGCAAATCTCGACCCCTTCCCCAGGGCCAGCTTTTTCCATCCAGAGTATTTGTTTGACAGTCGCGGGGCCAGGAGACGGCCTCCAGAGGCCGAACATGGCGAAAAGCTTAGCGTCACGACACATCTGAGGGGAGGAGGGGGAGGAGGAGGAAGAGGAGGAGGATGAGGAGGAGGAGAAGGACGAGGAGAGGAGGAGGGGGGGAGGAGGAGGAGGAGGAGGAGGAGGAGGAGGAGATGGAGATGGAGATGGAAACGGAGATGGAGGAGGAAGAGGAGGAGGAGGAGCAGGAAATGGAGGAGGAGGATGAGGAGGAAGGAGAAAGGAGCAAGAGGAGGAGGAGGAGGAGGAGGAGGAGGAGGAGGAGGATGAGGAGGAGCAAGGAGAAAGGAGCAACAGGAGGAGGAGGAGGAGGAGGAGGAGGAGGAGAAGGAGGAGGGCAGTAGCAGCGGCAGCCTCCCCCCTCCTTTGACCAGCGGGTGCAGGATCTGGCTAAGTCAAGGCGCGACCCCCGGTCGCCGCTTGGGGTCTTCGTCGCCGTCGCCGTCGCCGCCGTCGTCGGTCGTGGCACCCCGAGACTTCTGCTTGGGCAAGACGCCCCTGGAGGCCCAAGAAGGGCAGGAAGGCGTCCAGAGGCTTGGATCCGCAGACCTCGAACAACGCTATCGGCGCCTTGGTCCCCGCAAGTCGTGGCTGCCGCCGCCGTCGTCACGGTCGTCGCCGTCGCCGGCTTTTGGTCTGCTTCGCCGAGACCCGTTGGCCGCCCCGGGCGATTGTCCAGGTAGGCCCTCGTTTTGCACCTGGGTTGTTTACAGCGGGAGCGGCGACGGACGAGGACGACACGAGAGGGCATGGGACGGAGGGCGTATCCCCTCAGACTGTCGCCATTCCGCGGGTTCACCCCCCTTTGTCCTCGCTCCACTCCTTAATGCCTCGGCCCTCTGGGCGCGGATGGGGCTGGACTCGAGCGGGGTCGCCTGAACTGTCGCCCAGGTTCCCCAATCAGTGCTTGCACTGAAGGGGTCTTGGCGGATGTTGACAGATTTGGCGAATGTTCCTGGCGGATTTCGGTGGGCAGTTGGGTCCGCGGGTTCCCGGTTCTTGGTTCCCGGGTTCCCCGTTGCTGGTTCTGGGCCCATTTTGGTGGGCGGCGGGGGTTGCCGGGTTTCTGGTTTCCTGGGTTCCTGGCCGATCTCCTTATATCGATCGGTCTCACGATCGGTCTCATTACCCACCTCTGTAACGATCCCATCATCGATCTCACAATCGATCTCATTAGTGATCTCACAATCGATCTCACAATCGACCTCACGATCTCACTGAATCGACTTCATTATCGGTCTCACGATCGACCTTACTATCGTCCCCACTCTCGATCCCACGATCGCTCTCACTATCTATCTCACAATCGAGCTCGATGTCCATCACTAACTGTAAGACTATCAACGTTTTTTTTTTTTTTTTTTTTTTTTTTTTTTTTTTTTTTTTTTTTTTTTTTTTTTTTTTTTTTTTTTTTTTTTTTTTTTTTTTTTTTTCTGTGGTGTTTTTTGCTCAGAGCGCGGCCACCACATCGAAAAGGCGGGCTGCAATCTTCGGCGGCGCGCTGGCCGCCCCGTCTTTGTCGTGCGCTTTTCCCGCCTCATTTGCGCAGGACGGCCGTGCGGTGCACGCCAGCCTGGCCGCTGCGCAGTTGACCGTGGCGGTGGCGCAGGTGGTTGCGTTGATGCACACATCGCGGTCCCTTTCCCTTCGCTGTCCTCTGCACCTTTGTGCCTCTCCATAGGGAACACTCTGGAACACTCCGCCTATTCCTCCTCCACTATTCTTGTTGTTCTTCTACGACTCCGCCCTCCTCCCTCCCCCTCGTGTCCTATTTTCTACAATTCGGCTTTGTCTGCGGGTTCTGACTCGTTCCCCAAACAGTGCTTGCCACTAGGGGTTCTTAGTTAATTTTCCTCTAAGGAACTGGGCCTGGCTGGCGGTCTCGCGGCTATGTGGCCGCCGTCGCCGCTTCGTCGCCGCCCGTCGTCTGGGCCTGGCTGGCGGTGTGGCGGCTATGTGGCCGCCATCGCCGCCCCGTCGCCGTTTCGTCGCCGCCCATCCCGTCGCCGCCTCGATTCTCCTTCCGAAAAGAGATATCGACTCTTCCCTACCGCCGCCCTCCCCGACTGAATGGTACCCGTCCGCGTATTGCAATTTGCATACGATTTTGCCCCATCGTTTGTGGTGGTAGTGGTGGTGGTGGGTTGTGGTGTTGGTGTTGGTGGTGGTGCTGGTGGTGGTGCTGGTGGTGGTGGTGGTGGGTGGTGAGTGGTTGTGGTGGTGGTGATCGTGGTGGTGGTGGTGGTGGTGGTGGTCTGGTGGTTTGTGGTAGTGGTGGTGGTTGTGGTGGTGGGTGGTGGTGGTGGTCGTGGTGGTGTGGTGGTTTGTGGTGATGGTGTGGTGGTTTGTGGTGGTTTGTGGTGGTTTCTGGTGGTGGTGGTTGTGGTGGTGGTTGTGGTGGGTTGCGGTGATTGTGGTGGCGGTGGTGGCGTTTGTGGTGGTGGTGTAGTGGTTCGTGTTGGTGGTGGTGGTTGTGGTGGTGGTGGGTTGTGGTAGTTGTGGTGGTGATGGTGGTGGCGGTGGTTCTGGTGGTTGTGTGGTGGTTGTTGGTGGTGGTGGTTGTGTGGCCTTCGGGTCTTCCCGCCACCGCGCTTTGGCGATGGGTCAGAGTTCGCATGAATGCCTCTTGAGGTTTTGTCGGAGGGGTCTCGGGAGCGTCTGAGGAGCATTTGTGAAGCCTCCTGAACCTTCCTAAGGGCCTCCCGATGGCTTTTCGGGGGCGATGGCTCGATATGGCGATTTGTGTTTCGCGGCCTCTGGGCCCTCTCTGGTCATCGTCGCTGCGTCCCCGCCGTCGGCGCTGCTGGCCGCCGCCAACCCTGGCGCTGGCGTCGGCGCCGGGCGGTGGGGGGGGTTGGACCGCCCCCCCCCCTGGGGGAGGGGGGGGTTAGGGAAAGGCGGGGGTTAGGGGGGAGGGGGGTCCCCCTGGTCTGATCGACGCCGCCGAATGTTGGGCCCCCCCCCCCCCCGGTGCGAAACGCGCCGCGGACTGTTCCTGAGGCAAGCGCCCGTGAAACGCGCCCTCTCGCATCGTTTAAGCGCTCCCTATCCCCACCATCCCACCATCCTAGTTAGGATATGCCCCTCGAAACCCAAAGGGGACAGCCCATATCCTCATCTACGGGGGTAGATCGGCCAGTGGGGCCCTGGCCACGCCCGTGGGGATAGGGGTCTGTTAAACTTGGCATCGCTCGGACGTGTGCATTTTTCTTTCGGCGAGGACAATCGAGGAGCATCCTTGATCGTTTGGCGAAAAGACCACACACGAAATCGAAAAAAAAAACAGGGAATGGACGTCCGAGCGATGGGCGAGTAAACGATGCTCACAACGTTCCCTTTCTGAACCTGCTCGGGGGCGGGGCCGAACCAACCATATCCCAGCTGACCGCATTACCTCCTACTTCCGATGACGACCACGAGGACGACGAGAGCACGACGAAGCCAGAGAGCCCTCGAGCTGTGTGTCTTGTGTGTGTGCGTGGCGGAAGAGGTGCGCTCTCGACCCGCGAATCAAAAGTGTGTGTGTGTGTGTTTTTGTTACTCTCCCCCGGTTGGCCTCAGATCGTGTCGAGGCTTCTGGACTCGAGCCTCGGCGGCTTGAGCCAAGAAGGTTGGCGGTGGCCAACGGCGCCGGCGGCGCGCGCCGCCGCGCGCCCGCGGCGACCGCGCTACCTGTCGCTCCGGCGAGGCATCCGCTGCCACTTCCACGGGCGGGAGGACGCCGTCGCCGAGGACGAGGAGGAACCTGGAGCCCCCTCGCGCTCGCGGCGCGCGGCCCGGCCGGCGTCGCGGCCGCCGCTGGCGACGACGTCCAAGGCCTCCGAGGAAGTCACCGCGGTATTGGCATACACTTTTTGGGGGCTTCCGGGAGCTTGACCTCCGAGATTCCCCAGGCAGTGCTTGCATTTCAGGGTCCTTGCTCGCGTTCTGAGGAGCTGGGCCTGCGCGTCGGTCTGGCGGCTATGTTGTCACTGTTGACGCCCCGTCGCCGCCCGTCGTCTGGGCCTGCGCGTCGGCATGGGCATTCCCTCTTGGGCCTCTTTGTTATGCAGTTTTTTGGTTCTTCCCCCCCTAAGGCAGAGTGCTTCTGTTTTCGGCCCCAGCCGGGCTTCTGGGAGGCCCGAGGAGTGGCCAGAGAGGCGCCAGTGAGCCTCGACCCTCGATCCGCGGCCGACGACGCCGAGGGCCGCCGAATGCTGCCGAAGCATCCGCACTTCTTACCGTCGCAGCGGAGCCCAGCGGCAAGGCGATGGAACGACAGACGAAGACGACGACGGCGGCGACGACGAGGGAGAGGACGGCAAAGAAAAGCGAGGGGGCAAGCGCCGGGCGCACTGCCAGCCGATCCTGCAGGACGGCGCGCCGAGCCGCCTCGTTGCCGCTGGCGCGCGCTGCCGGCAGCGGCACCGGCAGTCCCGCCCGCGGCGGCAGCACGGGCACCCACCCGCCACGTGGGCGGCTGGCCATCTGCGGCCACGCCGGCGCCGCAGGCACCCGCAGCGCAGGCAGAGGCAGCCCTGGCAAGGGGCCCTGCGCGCCGCGTGCGCCAGCCGGGCGCGGCCCAAACGAAGAGGCCCCGCGGCCGCCGCGGCTGCCGCCGAGGCAGCCGCACACCCCGGGGTCCTCCAACTACTTTCTCGGCCTCCGGCCGAGGGCGCCTACGGCATAGGCACCGTGTCGCCATCAACAACAACCCAGGGTCCTCCAGAGATCGCGCGTGCTCCGCCGCCGCCACCATCGCCGCCGCCGTCGCCGTGGCCGGCGCCGCCGCGGTTGACGCCGCCGTCGCCGTTCACTCCGCCGTTGCCGATAGCACTGCCCATGAAACCCTCCGCGGTCAGCTGCGTACGCACGTCATCCATGCAGTTGGCCATAAGCATTTCGTATGGTATATCTGCAAGGGCCTGTCCTGGGAACAACTGTCGTTGAGGTAACGAAACTTGCCCCGACAATGGCTCCAAGAAGAAGTACAACTACGGTTTTGCTACCAGACTCCTATTCCGGCAATTGCCGCAACGTGGAGGCGAACAATTCAGTGGATCTGGGTTCCGATCACAAAGCCGTGGTCTCGCACTTCTGCTTTCGGCGACGCGCTTCCACCGACCGACGTACGCACGACGAGCAGCGCCAGCCCAGGCACATAGTGGTGAAGCACGACCAACCGCAGTTGGGTCAACGTTGACACTGAGGCGTATCACACAACGGCCAGAGAGGTGTTCTCTGCAGCAGACCCACCACGACCGCCAGAAGAACTCAGTAACCAGATTGAGTCATCCATCTTGGAAGCAACGACGAAATGCAGCGCAGAGCTGGCGCAACCGAGACCGCACCGCTCAACCAACGCGCGCCTCCAAGCGCTGATCCAGCAGCGGCGACGCATCCCGAATGACAATATACAGTATCGACGCTGCGACAACAAGGAAATCTAACAAGAGATACGACGGCAAACGCGAGCAACGCGACGTACGCAGATCAGCACTATACTCGAGGACTGCCGTGGATTCAAGCGCATCACGACTATCAAAGCAGGACGGAAACGACTAGTCACGGAAATCCATTGAACGGACTGCACGAAACATACCAGCAGAGACTCAATAGCGATCGTGCCTACAGATCTCAACGAGCAGGTGTATCACTCCACGCGACAGGCTTCACCACCTAAGCCTTTTGACGACACGGTGCCTCCTCTTACTATCCCTGAGATCAACGAAGGATTGCCCAACCTCAAGCGGGGGAAAGCAACATGCACGATTGGAATCACAGCCGAAATGTGGAAGCACGCCTTCATAGACTTGAAAGGAGCAGTGTTGCAAGTATACAGTACCGTCTCTCAAGCTGATGCACCTACCCCGCAGTGCTGGCGACAGACAGTCATCACAGTAATCCCGGAAGCAGGCGACCCCACGCAACCCCAAACTTACAAATCAATTTGCACCAGAACCCTGCTCTACAAACTGTTAGCAAATTCCTAGACAATCGACTACAGCCGCTCCTGGACAAGCAGCAGGCCCCTGACCAAGCTCGATTCCACCCGCGACGCCCGACGCAAGATCACCTCGTAATTTTCCACATGCTTCGAGGAAGAGTGCGGGAATGGAACCAACCACTCCGGAGAGCGATGCTCGACTTCAAGAAGGCCTTCGACACGGTCGAGCATGATGACCTTTGGATGGCGTTCAAGAGCCAAGGTGTCGCACCAGGTGGCATGCATCTGCTCCAAAAGCTGCGTTCTGACCAAACAGCAACGGTGCGGACGGACACGACGAGCCACCCTTTCAATCTGCGAAGGGGCGCGGAGCAGGGCGTTCCACTTAGCTCACCTCTTTCCCACGCGTTTGTCGGACGCTTCATGTGTGAACTCGCCGCCACAAGGGGAACAGCGCAACGAATGCGTCCAGCTCGGCTACGCAGAAGGGCTGCAGCCTCACCATCAACCGGTTTGCCGACGGCGTCCTTCTGACAAGCCGCACTCTACCGCGCTTGACGACACTGCCTGAGCAAATGACCACGGCTGCACAACAATACGGCCTCCACAATTTGATTGAGAGGATTGGGGGAGCACGACAACATGTGGTAAGCATCGACGGCATGGAGATCGATATTCTACCTCACAGCGGGTTGGTCAAGCACCTGGGACAGAGTATCAGCTTCCACGACACCAAGTACGCCGAAGTTCAGCATCGGATCAAGGCAGGCTGGGCAGCATTCGCACTCAATGGAGAAGAATTCGCAGGGTAGTGCTACCCCTTGAAGCACAAACTCCGGCTTTTCGACGGCAGTGCCACACCGATGGTAATATATGGCGCGACAACTTGGGCTCCGACCGGGCTCTGGCGATAACAGCTACGGTGCGTCCAACGCCGCATGCTACGAATGATTGTTGGCTCCCCGCGACGACGTTGAACCGTCGGCACGAGAACCAGTTCAGCGCGACCAGCCAGCACACGACGTGATCGACGTCCAAACCACGACCTTGCGAAAGCGACCCGCATGGAGAAACCAAGCACAACCGACCCTCAGCTACACACCCAAACGCAGATACCAGCAACGGAGTCATCGCCACTGCCGACAACGAGAACAACGTCGCACGTGAGATCTTTGGACTGGAATCGTAGGTTGATTGCATCAAGCTCACGACAGGTTGAGCGGTTGGATTACGAGGGAACGACGAAAGGTGTGAAGATGCGCCGCAAGGTCGACGAACCACTCCCCTTCATCATGGTTTCGATGTGTTGTCGACTGACGTAGCCTCCGCACTTTCCAGACGGGGCACAATAATCAGGGAGGGCAGCAGAAGCGACGGGACGATGACGCACGTGATGTTCTTGCACCCCATGGCGCATAAGAGCGACCCTCCCGTAATAGCTACGACGTGAACAGCACCGTATGGCTCAATTCGGCTACCGGGGATGCAGTGTGGACGACGCTGGAGACGATCGTTGTTGCGTGTTCCACTCCCGACACTGCCTCGACGTCAGGTTTCTGGGTAGCCGTCAAGCCTGCCGGCCATGCCTGCGAAGCCACGGCCTCGCCTGCTCAGCCTTGAGAGGGCCCAGGCGATCGCCCGCGCAAGCGTCCCAGTCGATTCCTCTGCCCACTTCCGACGCTCGAGGATTGTTCCCAACCGTCTTGTGGTGTTGGGTCCTCGTTTTGAAGAGACAGCGCCCCGCATTCCTCTCCTCTCCTCTCCTCCTCCTCCTCCTCCTTCTCCTCCTCCCGACGCTCGAGGATTGTTTTTTTTGAAGTTGACCCAGAAGCGTCTTGCGACCTTGTGGAGATATCCGGCGGCCTTCTCCTCCTGTCGTGGTGTCGTTTTGGCTTTGCGACAAAGCCTCGGAACATATGTTGATGCTCTTTCCCCACGACGTCATGATTTGTCAAAGGCCTCCGCCTGGGCCCCTGGACAGTCCAACGCCACGGGATGATAGGCCAGCCTTGGGGAAAGGGTCAAGTGTTTCGGGGACCCCGTAAAAAAAAAGCAGAGCAGTCGTTGTCGTGCATTTTCCTCTGCTTCGTGTCTTTGTTTCCACTGCGCGGGATGTTGAGGTGTCCTCCCTTTCGGCCGCCCCCTACTCCGTCCTCCCCCTCCCGAGGTCTCCGGAGGTCGGTGGCGGTCTCTGCGGGGGGCGCCGCGGAGGACCCTGGAGGCGTCCTCCCAGAGGCCCCCAGGAGAGCCAAAAGCGTCCAAGAGGTATGCTGCTGCAGGCCAGCCACAACTGGGGGAGCTGTGGTCCTTACCCCCTTGGGGGGCCCATCGATTTCGATACCCCTCTCGAGAGGTCGTCGATGCGATGGGTTCCCCCAGAGGGGGTGAGGACCACAGCTCCCCCAGTTGTGGCTGGTCGGCGCTGACTTTCCTTCGCCGAGATCCGACGCCGCAGACCTGCAGGCTCGCGAGAAAGCGCGACCGAGACCCTCGCCGCCGATTGTCTGCGGCGCTCCTCGAGCCGAGCCGAGACGTCGGGGCCCCGAGGCCCGAAGCCGGGCGAGCGCGTCCGCGGTGGAAGCCCTGCGGCGGCCAGAGCTCAGAGCCCCCCCCCCCCCTCGCCCCCCCCCCCCCCCCCCCCCCCCCCCCCCCCCCTTCGCCCCCCCCCCCCCCCCCCCCCCTCTTCCAGATCCCAACCGGACGTTTCAGATCCCAACCGTCAAGGACACGTGGGACGGGTGAGATCCCCACCACTTCGGAGCCTCTGAAAAGCTCCGAGCCTCTGCAAGGTTCTGAGAGCCTCTGAGAGCTTCCG